GAAATAAGGCATCTGTGGAGAATTGATAGGGTGCTTATTGTACCTGTCATTCTCTCCTCCACAGGTAACATACCAGCACACACTACACAAAAAGCCTGGGAACATTACAATTGAATAGAAATACATACAATACACTACAGAAGGACACTACAGTAGAGCGTCATTTATCCGAATCAATTGGGGACTGGGGTGGTTCAGATAACTTATTTTTCGGATAACGAATCATGTACGAAAAAATATATTAATTTATCCCATGTTGAAATTTCTCTCTGTTGCGTGTCGCTTCGCGTTAAATTTTTGTCGATGTTAAGCCTAACGAAGACTATTGTATCGTTAAAAATTATTTTTTTATTTTGTACAAACAAAATAAATTTATTGAAAAATATAAAAACAATAAAAAATTATACTTCAGATGTTAATTTAGTATCAAAAACGTAAAATATTTGAGTAGCCCGAGAAATAGCCGAAGATTGCAGCACCACAGCACTAGCGAAAATTTAAATTTGCCAACTGGAATGCTTTTGGATAACCAGCTTTCGAATAAACGATGCTCTACTGTATATTGAGTATATGTCATATTGTTAGGAAATTCCTAAATACAGACACACACACTGACACACTTAATTTTTGTTTTGTTTTGGTTGCTATGCCTTGACTATGGTCCAGCATAGTATATAGCCATCGGTGTCAACCGAGTATAACCCCTAAACCCAACATAATAATAATATAAAATGTCTGGCACATGTCTGGTTAGAACCTCACAGGTCACCAGATAGGTTTTATAAAAAGGAAAGCAGAATTCCTCAAAGTGTAGCCCAAATATTTTTAAATTATTAAAGTGGCCCAAAAAGTAGTAAGTCACCCAAATGTAGTAGCCTAGGGTCATACAAATATCTGAATCTGCTACTCGTTGCCCAATCTTGCAATCCCGAAACCCAGCCATATTTTTTGAGATAAGGGAAAAAACAGGGAGTCCACAATTAAGATGACATCCAAAAATGTGTTACTGTAAAAGCAAAGCCATATTGTTCTTGCAAACCAGATTACAGTTCTTGGTCTATTGTCCTCTTATAGTATGGAGGCATTTTGATCTAAACGAATGAGTTAACATACACTTCACAGTTCAGTCAGAATTTTTACTTTGAATTTCAATATAGCTGTATTTCAAACTAACCAAATTCCTTAACGTGTAAATCTCTATATCCCTGACAGGGACAAAAGCACAGTTACAAACTAATGGTATTTTGAACTATTGAAATTTGAATTAACAAGGATTTCCTATAGTATGTATATTTTTTGTGTGTGCAAACAATCTTTTCTAAATATATTAAAACATCTTAAACTTAAATGAGATCTATAAAGTAGACTTTATAGCAGCTCATTTACAATTACAAGTTGTCCGCGAGTCTGATATTTGTAACTCTGGGACTGCCCGTGTTTTATTGATAGGTTGGGGTTTCTCAATGGAGTCAGTGAAAGTTTGAAAGGAGATCAATGAGCAAATTAGATACATATTGTATGAGCATACATTATATTTAAATATTATTTAATTAAGCATGGAATCCCTTCTAATTCAGCACCGGGGTGAAATCTATACTCTCTGGAACCTGTAACCACTGCATAATGTGTATATATATTATGTATCGCGGTTGACAAATTTTTCGAACATTCCCGCTGTTCTTCTTCAGGTCAACTGGTTAAGGAATTTCACTGGACAGAGTGCATGTTATTCTGTGGGATCAGGTATTATTTAATTATTTAGTAAATTCAATCATTAGCAATTTTTGAAAACATTTTCACTATCATTTTCAAAACTTTCCAAATATAAAAAAAATTTACTAAAAGATAATGGATGGATGTGTATGTGTAAATATCAAGTTCCTTGCAGCCTTTTTATTCCAAAAGTTCCAAATATTGACCTTTAAAACAATTTTCAAGGTCATCAAAATGTCTTGCTTTTCTATAAATGAATATGTATGTTACTAGATTAACAAAATTAATATATCTTCAGTATTTTTGGAATGAGAAGAGTGCAAGATTATTTTGACTAACCTGTTTATGTATGATTAATTGTTCCGTTACTGGTTTCTGTGGATTTTTTTAAAAACTAAAGTTATTCGGTAACTTATCATACAAGTGTGATAAGTTACCGAAGTTACATGACCAAGGTTTGGGACTCCCAAACCTTGGTCATGTATCAACTCTTTTTCACAAACACAGTGTACTAATAATGAATTTTCAACAGCAGTGTCCTTCACCTTTGACATTTTGAAAATGACATTTAAAAATTCTGTAAAAATAATTCTGTAAAAATTCAGTTATTACAAAATTAAAATAATTGAATAAAAAATCATTTGATGCAAAAGTGGTACTGTTAGTTTGGGGGTTTGCATATTTTGGACCTAGAAGTGTCATATTTATAAATGCATCACTGAATAAAATGAAATATTTTATTGAGAGAGAAATTTAAGAATAAGTTTGGTTTAGTATCAGTCATAATTCACAAAATAAAATTTCTATAGCCAATGTTAATTCAAAAGATGTTATATTAAATAGCTGGCATCTGTTTTCTGCTGTATTAAATAAAATTTTTCTATTTATTAATTTATTTGGACAAATAAATTGGTCCAAAGGCATAAGTGACAATGTCTGTACTTTAATCTAGTTCCAATAATATAATAGCTAATTTTAATTATGAATTTACAAGTGGAAAATTAACACTAAAATATTCATATAAAAGATGCCTTTTTATGTCAGAATTGAAATAATTGCTCTATTTGACAATGATGATTGTAACATGAAATTTCATTCATTTATTCAAATTCACAATTTACAAGCTCGAAATATTACATTGTTTATCGGATGCCTAAAAGTATCTTCCCGATAAATCAACCAAATCAACCCAAAACTTTAAATCAAATAATGAAATTTTTCTGGATTTAGCTAAAATATTAATTCAAAATTTGGATGGTGTAACTTAAGGAACATAGTTACTTTATTTTTCACAAATTATGGGATTATTTTATTTTTTACTCTTTCTGCTCCGTGGATAGTAAGAAGGCCTTTCATTCAACACTCATTGTGGGTTCAGTCAGGCTTACAATGGGGATGGTAGATGTTAGGAAACTGGATCTGATGTAAGGATCCCAAAAAAGTTTCTAAGATTTTCGACCCGGATTCGAACGTGGGTTTTTGGAACGGCAGACCGACATCTTTACCGCCTTGATTGTCCAGCCATTGTACCCTTTAGATCAATGTTTTATAATAGATATTTCTAAAAAATGAATTCTAATTCTTAAAATGTGATGACAATACTATCAATCTATAGCCCAAATTATGTAATAAATTAAGGGTATAAATTAATCTGAAGTCTTAAAAGCCTGTGATATTTAGATATTTGTTCATATGTTTTTGAGGCAATTAAGTTTAAACAATCATCTTTGGTATAGTTATTAGTTTTATGCTTAAATTTTTACAAATGGCACTAGACTACGATGCTAATATATTTTAAAATTAAAACTATCAGCACTCATAGAAAGTGTCAAAAGTATACACTTTTAAATTAGTTTGTATTGGAGTGGCATTCATTTGTCGAGCAATATCCTTTATAAAAATGAATTCTTAACATCGTTTACTTCGTAGTACATAAATACAAATTTTTTAACAATGTTTAACATACTTAGAATCATTTATTTTAAATTACAAGTAATAGAAAGTTTGAGTTTTCATGAATATGCAAGCAATAATATAAATTAATCTAATAAATCAACTGTCAGTGTTTTGATTGTATTTAATTTTTTTGGCCTTGTATGAATGGTCTAAAATTCTCAATTAATCATGTAGAAAAAAGTGTTTGTTTTGATTGAAAACTCCTTTATCTGTAAACACACGAATTGGGTCAAGGGAAATGATTGGCCTCTTTACTTACCTTTAACAAATGTAAAATAATCTAGCATTTGTTTTAAGCACTAAAAAATCATAAATTTTTTAAGATAAATATTCTTGATAGAATTGAGTTTTAAATATTATTTAATTCTCTGTTTAAATTACAAAGACTTGATTTTATTTTTATATTATTATTTATAATTAATAAATTTAATTTTGGATTTTTATGTGGAAAGACTTAGAAGTTGTGATATTTTCCAAATTTTTAGACTTTAGCATATTCTGAGATGTGTGTTGCTTAGTTTCTAAGTAATGAAGCAATATGCATTTTCTGTAACATGCATTTTTATAGAGTCTTAAAGTTACATACTGTACATTTTTTCTCTAATTATGCATTCATTAGTATCAAGAGTGAGGCTATTTTTCAGCTGGAATGTGACAGTAACGAGACTACTATTTTTCAAAAGTCGCATACAAAATTTCCACCAGTAAAGCATGATTTTCTTATTTCAAATTTTAAAGTTTAAAAAGTTTTTAGAAGATGTATTTTTGTAAATTGTGGTCATCAATAGCATTTAATTTTGAAACCATTTTGTTTAGAACTTTGTAAACAATAATTTTGACTTTTTAAGGATTTTAATAAATCACTGAATTTCAAATAAATATATGGGATTGTTTTACTTTTCACAATTTATATTTCTTGGATTTTTATATGGCAAACTTTATAAAGAAATAATTTAAAGTCAAATCTATATATTCCAATTTATTAACATTTACATTTTTGTAAAACAAAATTGTTACTTTGCATTTTTTCTGATTATTTGAAAATTTAATTTAATGTTGACTAATTTGTTACAAAATTCTAAGTTAAATGTTTTCATAATATTTTTTATATTAATAAATCATTGTCATCCACTATGATATATAAAATTAATAAATAAACTATTCTATTTTATATATAGTACTATTAATAGATAAGTTTTAGATATTTTAACATTATATAAAATAATTTAAAATTATTGTGTAAAATTATTTATTTTAATATATAAATTTAAATAAAGTATTTAAAATGTAGCATATTTAAATTTTTAGTGATTTTTGCATTTTTTTTACAGTTTTGATAAAGGAATTTCGATAACGTAAGTGGCTTTTGAACGGCACTTATCTCAGAATGGTCGGATGCGGCACGCCTACTCCCTGCATTTCGTACGCTTATCCTTTATTGAAAACATCTTCCATGCACAAAACGCTAGATTACAATTACACCTGCAGTAATAACTGCTCCGGACATGGTGACTGTTACGATGGTATCTGCCTCTGTGAGGTAAGATTGAGAACTTAATCTCCTAAAAGATTTAAATAGAGAAATTTGAGATAATGTCCAAGATAAAAACTAAACTATATTAGGATTCTATACGACGTAATTAGATGCATTCGATTACGTTGTAAGCAAGAAAGACAGAGTTGATAAAGATAGTGATATCAGTTTTGAAAGTGAAAGCAAAGATATCTACAAACATTTAAAAATAATAATTCAAATACAGTTTTTAAGCTGAATTAACCTTCAAAGACTTATCTATTTAGATTACAAAACTTTCATGTTTAGGGTACAAATTATTCTAAAATACAAAGCAAAATTCTTTAAAGTTCTAATTTAAATGGTGCTGATTTTTTATTTCTAATTAAAATGGTGACTATAAGATAGCAGTCTAAGTTAAACTTAGACTGCTATTTTATTATATAGTCACCATTATATAAATACTTACACTTAACCAGGATGATCAGACTTTTAAGTTAGATAACCCTTAAAAGTTTACTTTAAATAAAAATAGACTTGATAATGCAGAGAGTCAGTTGCGTCTGACTAACTTGTATGTCACCAGTTTGTTTGTTTGTTTAGAGCTTCAAATGTTGTTCCAACGATTACAGTAAATAAATATTCAAGATTTAACTGTTCTTGCAGTGTGGGAAGGCAAAGCAGCTTGTGACATTAAAAAAATAGATTTGGCATAATTTATATTAATGCAAATAAATTTTTCGTTCAATCACTTTGTATATTGGTATAACAATATAAACTTCAAAAATTCTTTATAACCAAGCAAAAATTATTTCAAATTATTTTTATTTTCAAATAATTAAATCAGTTTACCTTCAATATATATTAAAATTTAGCAGATTTATGTCGTATACATTATTTTATAAATTTGTTCAGAACAGCAAAATACAGTATTATACTTCAAAAATCAGATAAAATAAAATTAAAAGTTATTTAAAACATGATTAAATATCTTTAGATAATAAATGTAAAGTGACATTAGTTAAAAAAATGTAACTTATTGGTAATATTAAAAGAAGAAAGCCTACCTAGAAAGACATACTAAGAAATGAGGAATATTCTCTTCCACAATTGAACTTAGAGGAGAGACTGAATCGAAAAAAAGGCACAAGACAGAAAAAGTAAAATTTCCTGAGTAGATAAGATCAAGAATTGGACAGGATTAACTACCAAATCCTTGATTAGAGTTGCTAGAAATAGAGAAATATTTTGTTAAATTAAACTGTCACTGACCTACTTAGGAAAAACACTCTAAAAAATAATATTGCATTTATTATTATGTGCTATAAAATATCAAGAGCAGAAATTGAACTAAATATATGCATTTAATTTTAAATTCAATTATTAAATAATAATTTAATAATTGAATTTTTCCAAATATTAGCATATTTTCTAAAGTTCTAGTTTCAATCTACAAGACTTTCACTTCCCTTTTCAATACTTTTATGATACATCTGCATCTAAAACATGGACAGTTTTCAGTTCTTCTCTAGCATAATGATCTAAAAGTATTAACATATTGTTAGAGAGAATGATTAGAAAATGTAATAGAGTTATTTAGAAGACATTTGATATCATCATTGATTATCACACTGATTCAATTACATTAAATTCTATTTCCATTTTATGAAATTATTTTCAATAAATTAAGAAATCATTCTTAGAATTTTCAACTGTTTTGGCCCATCTTCAGAGAATTCTGTTCAAAATATTTAAAATTTACTTTTGGTTTCTTCTTTCTAAAGTAACCGAGATTTGAAAATACTAAAGATTAAAATAAGATTGTGAAAAATGCAAATTGTGAAGAATCTGACTTCTTTTTTTTTTCCTGGATAGATTTATATGCTTTATAATCTTCCAGTTTTTATAAATTTGCAATTTCAAGACATCAAACTGACAGTAAAAAGGTCACAAAACAAGGAAAAGACAGGAAGTTGAAAGACAAGGAAGAGAGGAGAAGTTAGGCAATATAGTGCTAATTCCAAAAACAAAAGTGTATACATTTGATCAACATATAGAGATTATTTTGTATAGCATAAATAGGTTAAGATTGGTCAAAATACAAGTTGTAGAGGTGTCAATATCTAGAGAGTTCAACTCGCTCTATTTGAGACAAATTCTGCATTATGTATGAATGGTCATTTGACATAGAAGTTGTCGACTTAGGAGGTTCCATTGTATTTTAAACTGGTTTTACCATTTTTAAAATAGGATTAAAATATATATTGATTAGCTGACTTTTAGGCCATCCCGTAACTCGTCAGGCTGTCTCATACTGTTTAAATTACAGGTAAAAGAACAGAAAATTATGGGGAAAAAAACTCAAAAAAAGCATTAAAAGTATGCTATAAAGAAACAATAAAAAAGTGAAATTTGTAAGTTGACATTTTGAATAAATTAAAGTTGCCAACCTTGTGAAAAGCAAATGGATTGACAAGTGAAATGTAACAGCTGCAGCTTTTTAAAGTATTGGTCTAGAGTGCCCTGCTTCTTGTTTTTAGTGAAAGCTTCTAACATGTAAGAGGCTAGGAAAAACATTGTGTAATATTCAGGTCAATACAGTACATAATGTACTGTATGTACCTGAATATTATGCAATGTTTTCATTACAATATTATGTGTGTGTATATATTGTAAGTGTGTATATATGTACATACATACATACATATACTCACAAAGTTCTATACCTTTTATATATTGTAAGAAAATAGAAATACCAAATGGAGATTACTTATTTATACTGCTTTTAAATCCACTGTCAGTCAACTGATTTTTTTCATAACCAATCACAGCAAGATATTTAAAACTTTGGGAAGATGTAACTTTCAAATTAAAATAAAAAATTGGCAGACAAATTTCAGCTGTAAACAATCAAAAGCATAATTTCAATTTCTGAATGTTAAATGAGTGGGAATTCAAGGAAATCTATTAGAAGTCGTTTAACTGTCTATACTGGAATTTATGATAAAACATAAATTTCATTTGTAATCTAAATTTTCAATTTTAAAGAAAGTTCATTAGCATTGGGCCACTAAATTAATTAATTTTATAAATTTCAGTATTAATTTCTGATGTCTAATATGAAACGTTACACTAAGCTTCCATTGATAAATGATCTGCCCGTACCATCGACTGGTTCAGGAAGTAGTTCTCATTTAAAACCAAGAAATATTAAAAGAAAGAATGGGTATGGAAATTATTAAAAATACTGAAATGTGATAAGGGCAAACTTTTCTAGAGAACCAACTACAAGGTAAACACGGAAAAGATGAATTGTTTGCCGAAAAGGTGTATGGTTGGCATGTATGAGATAGCTTTTGTTGTTGTTTGTATATTTTTAAAATTGAAATTTATCTTACTGTTTAAATAAAACATTAATAAAGAGAAATTGATTAATTTATTTCCAAGTGTCAGTGCCAATGATGACTAAACCACAAAAACATCGGGATGCGTTAAAAACGTACTCCTAGAACCTATAACCAGTGTGACGTAAAAAAAAAAAAAGATAAAGTTCACCACAAACATTTTTGAACTGCTGTGAGTTCTTCAGGTGTAAAAGGGAATTTCTGATAGATCAGAGTGAATGGTTTAGGAAATTTGAGAAACATTTGAAGGTGTTATATGAGACACGCATGTGTATTCGTATGACTGACATATAATGACACTTAAAGTTCAGAATCCATTAACACCTGCCAGGCTAGAGACAGAACTAACTCATCTTACTCGTAGTAAAACAAAAAACATACTCCTAGAACCTGTTATAGGTTCTAGGAGTATGTTTTTTGCCAATGATGACAGTATCCATATACAATTTTGCCCAAATTTAAAATTGTTAACAATATTTCAAGCAATTAATATTAATTTAAATTACTCATATTAATTATTTAAGTAATAAAGAGAATTTAAATCTATCAAATTTTTATCAAAAGTTTTTATGTATATTTCAAAAAAATTTATGTATAATAAAAAACTTTTATGTATATTTAATGAGATATAAAGCCCCTCTTGGTTTGCCTGGTATATATGATTTTAAGTATTTCGGAATCTCACTTGGGTAATGCACAGCTCCCGGCCAAGATTCTTGAAATAAGCTTATATACTTTATAGAAAATGAAGTATAAGTTTATTAGATAGGTGATTTTAATTTATTTCTGGTTTTAATATAAATGATTTTTAATGTTTAAGACTGAATTTTGAGTGAGTGCTTCAACTTATATATGCAGAATTTGAATTATGTCATAAATAAATTTGCAAATGTCTACAAAAAATGTCTACAAGCATTTGTAGAATTATAGAAAAAAATGTTTGCATAACTGTTATATTAAAGTTTTAAATTTATTACTTATAGTTTATGTAAAGTTTCTGTTTTAATTTGGAGATTTTTCCAGGTTCAGTATAGTGGAGGGAATTGTACCGATCCCAATTTAAGCTACTTCATCGCATTTTCCACAATATTCTATATAATATCTGTCGTTTCTTTCATTCAATTAGTAAGTCATTTTGGATTAAATATGGATTATTTCTATAAAATGTATATTTATTTCTTTTAAAATTTGTTTTGTGTAGTTATTATGCATCAAGGCCGAATTCGGACGGATGAAGACGCCTTCGGTTTTGAGAGCGTGCAGAGTCACCACCCAGAAGGCGCTCTATCTTCTCGTTGGAATTGCCACGGCTATCAGAGGATTCTATTTCTCTTCTCCTGTAAGTTGACAAAATCATTTTGTCTAAATTTATTCTAAGAAAATATTTTAATGTTGAGAGCACGACATAGTCTGTATTGACATAGATACTTATTTTTAGGATATTGCTGCTCTTCAGTGGGCTTCGAGCCTGATGAGTGCATATTATCCCGTTCTACTTACGGGATCATCCTTGATCGTTTGTTTTTGGGCCGAGGTAAGTGTAGAATGTGGCGGCATGTTTTACATTGTTTTTAGAAACAAATAGTATGTAGAATTGTCATTATATTTTATACAAAAAAAAACATGATGTATACTTGCTGTAGAATAGTAAAATCAAATAACTATAATGTATTAATTATAAAAAAACCATAACATATAGAAAGAAAAGAAGTTTTTAAATGTAAATTATGCTTAAAACATTGTGATTCATAACAGAAACTTTCCATTCAACTATATTTTCCTATAAGTTCTAAAGCCTGTTTTAGCTTTATTCATTTGGTTTAATGAAATGCTGCATTAGCAGACTATAATAAGAAATTAAGAATTAGGTATGAAGTAATTGAAAAGAGATAGGCAGTTATACTGCCATCTTGTGTTAATTATTAAAATTATATAATAAGTTAAATTCAATTAAGAATTTCTGGAAGAAAATCAACCCAGAGTGGCACTTACACTTATCTAAAAGGTAAACACCTTTCAGATAAATTTGCAAATATCTGTGAAAAATGTCTACAAGGCATTTGTAGAATCTCCTTTGCCATGTGGACCGGATGGCTTTTCTTAAGCATACTGCACATAGTTTAGGGAGTCTACTTGTTAAAGTACTAATTGAGCTAGAAAACAAGATGTACGAGCTGGGACCACAAGTTTTAAAGGAAGCTAACCTCCGAGTTGTAGGCTTAGCTAATCAAGTGTCGGTTAGATTACGGAAGAGATATAAGAAAAAAATGGACTGGATCAAAATGCATTTGTAGAATTATAGAAAAAAGGTTTGTTTTTATTACATTAAAATTTTGCAGGCATTGCAGGAACAAGTCCTGCTCTGAGCCAATTTTTTTTTTTCAGAAATTCTAAATTAAATTTATTATAATTATTAAAATTATCACGAGATGCCAACCTAACCATCTACTTTTCTGTCTAATTCTTAAAATAAGCATTATTGTAGCCTGATGATACAGCAGTTTGTTTGGTTTGGCTTTAATTAATAATTAGTTTTGTGAATTTGTTCATATATCTGTAAGTTCTGTTTTTTCTATAATTATATTGATCATTATACTTATAATTAATAATAAAAATAGCCAGAGAACATTATTGCTCTTACTTAATCTTAAATAAACAGGTTTCTGTAGTGGTATAATTAAAAGACTAGTAAAATAAAAGTTTGAAAAATTCATTATTTATCAATTGCCAGTCTTTCAAACTTGCTCAAAACATAAATATTAAAAATACTATTTACTAATATTATATGTTCTATTCAATGATATCTTGGGTCAGTAAGAATGTCTATAAACTGATATAACCAAATATTATAAATATAGCTTCATACTGCATAAATTGTAAAATAATTAGTGATATCTGCATGATATTTTACATGATAATTTTACCATCCTATAAATAGCATTCTGTATCTGAGAAAATTATAAGCAAAACTGAAACTAAAAACTGAGCTGTGAGATAGCTTGAGTCTTTTCTGTATTAGTAACTAACTTAGTTTTGATTTAGTGCATAGTTGTTATATAGTTGTAGTAGAGTTTTCTACTTCTCTATATAGGAAAGAAGGTTCCTTTTAAATCAAAAAGGATCAAAATTACTCAAACATTGACACACAAGAAACCTTTATAATGTAGCCTTTTAATTCAAAATTTACTAATATTTTTGACCATTTTGAAAGGCCTTTGTCAGGAACAGAACAATCAAATGATTCTGATTTCAAAACCAATAATTTGTTCTGGAACTTTTTGAATTTTTTTGTGTCTAGTGCGCAGGCTCATATATAAATAACTAGCAGGTGGGCCCGGCGTTGCTCGGGCAAAAATAACGATAACTAAGATAAAGATTATTATGTTACAGTCAACCTTACCCGTTTTCACAGAATGCAAGAATTGGGTCCCCTTGTTTCCAGACTAATTAGAGAATTTTTAGATGGGTCTAANAGTTTTGTTCTTTGTTATGATTTTTTGTTTTAAACTTGCAACACTTTCATTAATAGAGCAAAAATAATAGCAGTTTAAAATATTTAAAAATAAAAATGCCCAATTTCTATATTACAGTATTATCAATAAGTAATTCATTTACTTACTTATTAACTATTTAAGATCTTATTTATATATGAAAAATTTCTAGATAGCGTTATAAGTGATGTTTCTTACAGCATCTCTGTACATTTTGCCCATAGATGTCTGTATGGACTCATCACTCAAAGATAGATATTTATGACTCTAAACTGACTAAACTGTGTGATTTTATTTTTGATAACATGCCATGACAATTCCTTGTATATTTATTGATTAAAAATTTATCATTCATAATGAACTCACTATCATTTCTAATGAAAATAGTAAATATCATAAATAGTGCATACCATTCATCTGCAGAATACCCACAATAAACACAATTACCAAGAAACCAAACAATTGCCATAATTAAATTGGGCTAATTAAGTGCTATTATTAATTTAAATTCATGCTTCTTGTCCTTAATTACTTATAAATGTTATGTCTATATCCCCTTTGGACTTTCTTGTGAACTAGGACTTGTACACAGAGAAGCAAATCACAAAATTTCTAGGTAAAATATCTTTAGTATAACATAATCCTCTTATTATTAACAATTAACTATTAAGCAATTTGGTACTGCAGATAAATTTAATAAGAGATGGAACCTAATACTTAATAATTATAATATTTATTAATTAATTTAGAATATTCTGGAAGAAAAGAATCAACCTGGAGTGTTATTCAAATCTGCAACCCCCACTTACTGTTTGGATTCATTGCCAGTTATGATACCCGGACCTCCATCCGATTGTCAATGCATCCAAATAGTAAGCAGGAATTGCGGGTTTGAGTACCACTCCAGGTTGATTCTTTTCTTCCAGAATATTCTAAATTAATTAATAAATATTATAATTATTAAGTATTAGGTTCCATCTCTTATTAAATTTATCTGCAGTACCAAATTGCTTAATAGTTAATTGTTAATAATAAGAGGATTATGTTATACTAAAGATATTTTACCTAGAAATTTTGTGATTTGCTTCTCTGTGTACAAGTCCTAGTTCACAAGAAAGTCCAAAGGGGATATAGACATAACATTTATAAGTAATTAAGGACAAGAAGCATGAATTTAAATTAATAATAGCACTTAATTAGCCCAATTTAATTATGGCAATTGTTTGGTTTCTTGGTAATTGTGTTTATTGTGGGTATTCTGCAGATGAATGGTATGCACTATTTATGATATTTACTATTTTCATTAGAAATGATAGTGAGTTCATTATGAATGATAAATTTTTAATCAATAAATATACAAGGAATTGTCATGGCATGTTATCAAAAATAAAATCACACAGTTTAGTCAGTTTAGAGTCATAAATATCTATCTTTGAGTGATGAGTCCATACAGACATCTATGGGCAAAATGTACAGAGATGCTGTAAGAAACATCACTTATAACGCTATCTAGAAATTTTTCATATATAAATAAGATCTTAAATAGTTAATAAGTAAGTAAATGAATTACTTATTGATAATACTGTAATATAGAAATTGGGCATTTTTATTTTTAAATATTTTAAACTGCTATTATTTTTGCTCTATTAATGAAAGTGTTGCAAGTTTAAAACAAAAAATCATAACAAAGAACAAAACTTCAACATCTTAAGTATTTCTTCTGTAGAATCATATAATCTATTTTTAAAGTCCCGATAATCATTCTAACTGCTTAGTTCTTTTTATATTATGCAGACACACTTTCTCTTCATGTTACAAATTTGTGAAATTATTGGGAATTTCATAACTCTACAAGAAATTTAGCTATGAAATGTTTTCTTGAGTTTTTTTATAATTGAAACCTCAAAATATTTCATTTTTATTCTTTATAACATCATTACATATTAAGTTTTTATTAAAAAGTGGAATTTTCATATTTCAGGTTTTTCACGTTAGAGATCTTTGTTTAGATAATCCAAGATTTCTAACCAAGTCGTTCCTAGGGTTCATTACGTTTAATATAATAACTTATTCTCTTCTTTTGGCTGAATTGTTATTGCTTCAGTTTACTGACTCTACAGATAAGGTAAATTATTAAATTTATTTTTATTTACTATGCTTTAAAAATAAATAAGCATCTAACTTTATTTAAACAATAATGACCATACAAAAATTTTGGATCAGTTTTAATCCTTTTTTTTAAATCCAGCTAGAGATAGATGGTATACAACTTGAAGATAAAACATGAATTTTCAGGAAAATGATCAATGATATGACATTAAAAACACATACAGATTATATCTGACACAAACCTTTTAGTGTAGGATCTGGTGCCAACTACAGACAGCATTGGCAGATCCAGGTTTTTTGGTGCCTAGGGCTTATTGAAGTCCAATTTTTATTAATACAAATAATACTATAAATTATCATTATTATTATATTATTAATATTAACTACTTTTTACTATATGATAAGTACTCATTGTTAATGAAAAAGTATTAAAAATTTATGATGATAATTCAATTTTTGTGGACTCTTGACATTTGGGGGCCCAGGGCTTAAGCCCTATTAGTTCCTATGTAGATCTGCCCCTGACACACAGCACTAAAAGTTTTCACAATGTCAATCAGGTCTCAGTTGCACTTAAAGGTGGAAACACCACTCTGGAATCTTCTGGTGAAAATTTGAGAATTAAACAATATTTGCGTAATTACGTGATATCAGTTATTTTAATGAAGATTTGTGTCTTCAAGTTTTATACCATCTGTCTCTGGCTGGATTTAAAAAAGATTTAAATTGACCCAAAATTTTTGTATGGTTATTGTTTAAATATGTAAATAATTCTTGGACAAATGTAATCTAATTTTATGTTTACAGAGCTTATTCACCAGTGTATTCAATGCTTGTTATGCACTCTTAATGTTAATTGTCATTGGATTTTTTCTTTTTTATGGTGTTGAAGTCTTTTTCAAAGTGAGTATGACAATTACAACTTGCTATTTATATAATCTAGAAACTTAAAAATATAAAATTGATATTTTTAAATATACATAGTAGATATTTAGTACTAATTTCTTTTTTCTCTATAAGTAATATTTCTGTTTGTGTTTTAAAATATTAAGGTTCGAGGAGGCTTTATTCGTAATCCCAGTGCACCCACCAATACTTCACAGCTTCATCAGTCTCGATTCGGTTTGCTTTCTCAGGCATTTTTATTAATTATAACTGTCGGATTCATTGTTTCCGACGTTTTAGGAAGCTGTTGGAAAGACAAGTAAGGTTTATTTCTACTTAAAACTATAATAAGATGCCTTCAAAAGATTATAAGTCAATGTTTTAATTTGTAGAGTTCCCGTGTTTAGTCGAAATTTTCATCACGTTCTGTTTAGAGTGGTTGAAATGGGAGTTGCTCTATGGTTTCCCTGTGTCTTATGGAACTGTGTCAGGTAATTTTGTTTTTTCTGAGTTTATATAAAATATATTAATTTATATCAGTATAATAATTTTTTTAAACATGGAATGATCCATTTGGGTGGGGGGATAATTTGTAAGCTGTGTCATTAAGGCTAGGACATTAGGCACAAAAAATCATATAAACAAGCAGCAAAATAGACAAATTACTAACCACTAATACTGAAAATAAAGCTTTTAGAGTAGATTCACTTGGGACATTGGTTAGGAAATTTTTGCAGAAATACACAAAAGGAAATTTTAAGGTAATTTAATTTATTAACAGGTAAATTTGCAAAAATTACAGTAAAATTACAGTTGTTACATGGGCTTCTTGGAACTAACTAATCTAAAAGCAACAACTTAGATGATTTTACTTTAGGCATTGTTTCTTAAGTGCCATACACAAACATGTATGCTGAGATTTCAATTCTGTTTTTGAAGGATCATCTGAATACAGTGCATAAGTGAAAACATGTATAAATGGAAACTGCCATTCTTTATGGATAAGCCAGACCTGACTGTGAATCCACATTTAAGAGGCAGCTATGTGCAAATATAGATTAACTAAGTAAAAAAGTGAATGAAATATTTATTGTAAATATATTTACAATATGAAAGGTGCAAAACTTTGATGGAAAGTCACAGAGCCGTAACTAGGCAGGTGCAACAGGTGCACCCGCACAGGGCCCTCTTGAAAAGGGGGCCCAAACTGCTGTTCACAAAAAATTATATTTTCAATTAGTCTCGAAGTTGTAAAAGGCAGAAATTCTGACATCATTTTTTTCTTTATAGTGGTACGCATATGTGGTGTATACGTGAAAGGCGGATTAAGCGGTAAGCGAACTATGCGGGCGCGTAGGGCCTCGAAGGGGCTCCTGCAGTCATTAAAATGCCACTGTAAAAAGGTATTGCGAAAACGCAGACGATAGAAATAGTCCAGAAAAACGCTTCGATATATATAGATACATGGAAGTAATAAATGATATAGCTTTATGGCAACAATATTAACAGATGCTATTACTGTATTGATCATATACTTAAAACAAACCAAAAAGTATAGAAAAGGGATTTCTTAATAAACGAAAAAAAAAGAGTTAAGATACAGTAATGTAAATAGATAAAACACCAAATGAAAGAAGTAACTTGACACCCGAAAAATTACTTAAAATACAAATTTACAGTGTTCTTGACGCTCTATTGTGTCAAATAGATTGGCATTATGAAAAAATGAAAACTATCTGTGACGATTTTTGCTTTCTCTGTGTCTCGTCTTTACAATACAAGAGTGTTGCTGATTTTAAAAAAATCGGCTGCAGATCTTGCTATTAAATATAGCAAAGATTTAGAAAACTACGAATTCACAAGTGAAATTGAAAGTTTTAATTTTGAAGTAACGACTCATACAAAATATGGAAACTGCATCTCCGCTTAATATTCTACAGGCTCTTCGTGATTTTGGTTTAATTGAATCTTACCCAAATATCAATGTCGCTCTTCGAACATTTCCTATTCTTTCCGTTTCTATTGCTTCGTGCCAGAGAAGTTTTAGCAAGTGAAACTTAATATAAAATTATTTAAGATCAACTATCGGACAAGAACGATTATCCAATATTTCTATTATTTCAATAGAATACAATATGGTTAAAAATATTAATTATGATGGTGTAATTAATGAATTTGCTGAAATGAAAGCCAGAAAAATTCAATTAAAATAAATCTTATTAAAAATCTATTGTAATGTATTTGTTTTATTATTTTCCCAAAACCAAATAAATTAAGGGGCCTAAATGCAAATTCTTGCACAGGGCACAGGAATGGCTAGTTACGGCTCTGGAAAGTCAAGACAAAATAGAAACTGCTTATTTGTACTGTTTTTAAATCACTGTTAGTCAATTAATTTTTTCTAATGTACTGCAAAAACAAATTAATTCTTTCCAAATTTTTAGATTTTCAAATTATAGTCTGCAATTGTTTATGATTAAAATTTGCTGGTCAGTCAAAAGCATAATTTCAATTTCCAAATGTCAAATGGATAGGAATTTACATAAATCAAATAGAAATGGTAGAAATGATAATGCAATTATACTTAAAATTTAAAATACAAGCAAATGAAAACAGTCCAATGCTAATGACTTTAAAGTCTCTAGCATTGATTGTTAGATTAATTCATACAATTCTTTTAAGTTTCTACACTCAAAAACTGTAACTGGTTTTAATTGTTTTTGCTCCTCCTTTGGTGGATAAATTATCATCTAATTGGCACTTCGATGAATATAAATAATTATGTTCATAATAAACATTATTAGTAGGTTTGATATATCTGTCAGGATTATAATTGTAAAATTAATATACAATTTAAGATTATACAGTAATGAGTTTTAAATTGTATATTAATTTTACAATTATAGTCCTGACAGTTATATCAAATGTATATTTTTTATTTGTGTTGTCACTGGAAAGAAGTCCTGTAATGTCTTGCATAGTGAGGCGGAGGAGCAGCCTCTAATAAAAGGTCAACTCCACCATAAGACTGTTAGTTTCCTGAGGTGTGAGAAAGGACATCGAAAGACTCATGTATAGTCTTAAACTGTATATTATCAGTAGGCTTCATAATAATTATTGTTAATGTGAATTAAGAGAAAATAAGCAATCTTTAGAAAATATAGCAAATTTTCTAAAACTTATGGTATTTATTAGTAGAACAGATTCTAATGACAACCATGAGTTAGAACATTTCCTTACAGATGCTAATGAAATGAAAGAATTTTTAGGCACTATTACTTTTTGATGTTTCAATTGGCATCCTCTGATATACACTTTGATACAAAAGATCCTAAAATTGAACTAAAGGAACAAAATAGGCATTTAGAGCAATGTCCTAGTTTTATTCATAATAATGCATTAATTGTATGAAGTTAAAATTCTGCTACAATGGCAAGGTAATACCATTTCGATGAATAATTTGGTCACATGACAAAAGTCAAAATGGTCCTGTCTTTGGAGTCAACTATGTCACACAATATGTGACCAGAGGGTTAGCACCTCTTCCATGCCCTGTCAAGAATGACACTACCGTGTCTCAATTGACACAGAAGCCGCAACGGCAAATTTAATGAGGAAAGAAAGGTCACATGAGCAGATTCAGATGGAGGTGAGTGAAACAGCTTTGGAAGCAAGACACTCAGATACTAGGTTAACAAACAAATACCTGTTTATTTTTCGTTAGGATCTACAGGCTAATGGTAGCAAGACAATTAGACATTGGATATGAGAGAGATATGGATGCGTTTCGCACAAGAGAGAGTTTACATGAAATCGCACATTGTTATAAATACCTGGAGGTTTAGGAGACACTTATAGATGAGATGGATGATTGATCTTTCATTGGAAAGTTCAGAGCCACCAGGAACAGCTCGAAGGTAGGTGTGGAAAGTTTGGTCCAAGACAGGAGTTGGAATTTTCCTTGGGCGGAGGACAATAGACAGAGGTGAACTGGGAGAGATGATAATCTGTTTTCGGCAGGAGATAATGTTCGATGTTCCTATAGGGAAACACAGGGTTCTATGTCCATGGTGAAATAGGTGACGACTGCCCTCTTTGGCCATTAATTACGATATTAGAACGATATAGCCTAGCCAAGAGGTCAGCATATGGGAATGCTTTGTTTTCGCCATTGAGAAAGTATAAATGGCGATTTTCTCAAGTAGTAGATGACAACAATTATCTAACAAGTATGATAAAATTGACGACCGATTTTTGTTAAAGTTTGGATTCTCACACACGATGCATTGTTCAATGTTACTTGAAAATGTATCTTCATTGCTTAGTGTGTACAAACCTATGGATACAATTTCAGGTAACATAAAACACTGTGTTGACATATATATGATAGAGTCAAGGATAACTGTCATTAACTTTTCCTTGGGCTATGCACCAATACAGTGAAAATGTGGCTTCTTTCTTGCAATCACCAGAGTGGGGCTTCATGATTGGCCTTGTTTTTTCAAATGTGCAATCCCAACATGTCATGCAATTGTATTTAGTTGTCTTCTTGAAACCATAAGCACAACAAAACTTGTGTTTAACAGCCATTGCACACAAAACTTTGTATATGAAAGGATACACTTAGTGCATTGCTCCACAGTCGGTGCCATTTTAGCTTCTATCATGTGACAAAATTACATAACAAAATTCCCGTTACCTCGTCGTGGCAGAATTTGATCATACAACTAATGTGCATATTATATGACGTGTCATACAAATTATCCTTACCAAACAATTACCATATAATAATTAAAATTTATTTTATATCTTTTTTATTTTGTTTTTGAAGACCTGAGCAGTTATGGATATTAAATCCTCGAAAGATTTTGGAAAGACTGGAATGTGACAGACGTCCTCATCCCGGAGAAGCCGAAAATCTAGTTAGCATCCCAAAGACTACAATTACTAAATTAGGTAACATTTATCTATTATTTGCTTGCATTAACATTAAAAAGTAGACATTATAAAATTTTTAAACAAAGTAACATATTACAGAATCAAATGTTATCAGCGAGAAATCGTTGGAGTGTTGGATTTGCTACGACACCGACAGAATGGACGCGGGCCCGCTCATTCAGCCGTGTCACTGTAAAGGAGATGTCTCTTTCGTTCATCATGACTGTCTAAAAATGTGGCTAGTTGAGGTTAGCATATTATTGATTAGTTTGTAAAGATTAGGTAAAATTTCATATTGTATTTCTGAAAATGCCAAAAACATAAATATTAAGCTTTATAATTTAATTTTATATAATTTGAATATATTAAAAGTTGTAAATAGGTTAATTACTGAAATTTATCGTCAACTCAAACTGCTGAAAATTGAAATTTTGAGCAATCAAGTCTTATTTTGACTTCAATAGACTTTTGTTTATTGCTTTTTTTGTAAAATAACATTATAAAATCTGATTGCAATATTGATTTACAAGTATTGACATTTTTTCTATTTGTAGTTTCTTGTTGCATCTTGTAACATTTCAAAATTATATACTGTATGAAAAATAGTATTTAGTTGTTGAGAAATAAACATAATTATTAATTTTAATCTTATATTAATCATTTAAAAGCTAACACAATGATTCTTTTTTAGTCTGCAGGCTCACCCGAAAACATGAAATGTAAGGTTTGCAACGAACAGGTAATTTAAATTATCATTATCCTATTTTAAAATTGAATTTTATCCATGTAATCTAAGATTAAATGTCTGCAGTACGAACTGGAACGTGGTTACGTGTGGCTCCCGAATGGTTTTTCTGCCACTCACTGGGTGCAGACAGCCAGCATAATAACGGTCATGTGCAGTTCTATAGGAGGGGCCTGCCTGGTGGTCAGAATATTTTCTAACGTGGGAATACGCACTCTGGCAGTGGGACTGGCCTTACTGGTGCAGTATGTCTGTCTCAGGTAAGATATGATTTTTACTTTTTCCCTCAGAATTTTTAAATGCCATGCAGGATATTTTAAGATTCAAAAGTTTTCTAATACTAATATAACATTATTGGCTTTCATTTGATATTAAAATATTCATGTACAGTTGACTTGCCTCAAAACAAACACTGCTAAAATAAATTTTGCCGTTGTCCTGCAAAATGCCATAATTTTCATTAATAAAGCAAACTTTTTACCAGAATTTGTTTAACCAAACTGTAAATTACCTTCACAACCCCAAGAAATAATCTTATTTCCAATAATGGATGCTTTTTACGTAAAACTTTTCAACACAAACAATAAAAAGTGGAAGTGTAATAAATGTTCCAGTTTGAGTAGAGTATATTTTCTCCTAGTAAGCAAAAACAGATTCAACCCAAGTTTGTAAAGCAATTCAAACATCTGGTTTTAGATGATCATTCATATGCAGACTAGTATATGTTTGAATGGAACTGCAACCATTTAAAGGAAATGAATGCAGTTCCTTGCAAACATGTGCTAGTCTTCATATTGGGCAGTGAATACAGTGATGTCAGATTTGGCTACTTTACACCAAAAAATATTTTCTACTTTTTCAAATAATCTTCAATGGAAATCACTCATGGATTTCTTTTAGCTTTGTTCTGTTTAACCACTTTGATATACTGCTCCACACTTCAACAGCAAATATGTTGCCTCATTTTGTTTTATTTGAAAATCATTAATTTATTTTGTATAGAACATAATTTATTTTGTAAATAAATTAAATTTTATTTAAATTTATTTAGTGAATTAATTCAAAATATTATAATTATTAAACCACTTCTTGCCTGATTATATCTATTATACTGTATATACAGGGTGTTCATAAAGTTCGTGTGCAATTAAAAAACTTTCTAACGTTTTACATATTATTTTTCTATCACAAATACTAATAAAGTATTAGAAAGCTTAATGTACCTAGTTTTAAGTAAAATTAAAATTGGAAGAGGTAGATCATTTTCTTGGCGTCCACATTTGCCAGATTTGACTCCATTAGATTTTTTTTATGGTGACGTGTAATAACCTTATTGTGTGCAACCAAACCTCGATTGCTGGAAGACTTGAAGCCTAAAATAACTAATGTGATTTTAGGCATTATTAAAAATCATTTGGCAAATGTTTTTAGAGAACTACAAAATCATATTTCTTTTGTATTACTAATGGCTGTGGACATGTGGAAACTTAATAAAATACAATAAAATAAAAAAATATATAGATTTTCTTATTTTTAATACATTCTACATAATTTCTCTATCACAAATATTAATAAAGTTATAAATTTTTTAAATTGCACACAGACTTTATAGACACCTTGCATTATACTATTACAGGGGGGTTTTTTTTCCTTCAACCTCCACTGACTCAGAATAAAAAAACAAGAATGAAGAACAAAAACAAAATCACTTTATTTGTAGAAGATAGTTACAGTCTTCACCTATTTTTCCACATAATTGCCTTGTTGATTCAGGCAGCCATCATACCGTGACATCAGCTTTTGTATACTCGTGTCGAAGAACGTTGCCACCAGGCCATTCGGCCACCCTTTAACACTGTCGGTCAGCAATATACAGTGTGGACCTTGAAATTTGAGGAAACTCCTCACTGAGCTCAGAAATCGTGAACCGTCACCTTTTTCGTACCAATCGATCCACTTTGTCTACCAAATTGTCAGTCATCGCACACTTCCTCCCTCGACTGCCCTCATCATGAACGTTGTTATGTCCTTGTTTGAATTTCCCGCATCATTCACGCACATATCTGTACCTCGTGAGGTTCTCACCATACACATTACACATCCTTCGATGAATTTCACCTCCTTTCGGCCCGTAGAAATCAAATTACTGCTCGTACTTCACAGTTAGCGAGAGACTGGATTGGCGGCATCACGTTTACGCATTTACTGCAGAGTAGCAAATGTCTAAAATAGCTTGGCACAACGTTAAGTGGTGAGGGAATATACTACTTACTACATATGAACCTTGTCCCGGTCTCACATGCTTCCAAGTTTTTTTCATGCTTTAGTGGAGGTTGAAAAAAAAATAACCCTCGTATATTGTGTTTTAAATTTACATATGTATGACAAGTTAGTAAATTTAAAATAGACTATAATGGTATAATATATATATAATCAAAAAATTATAATTTAGAGTTTTTGATTACTTATTAAGCTTGTTAAATTATGTTTTTGATTACTTATTTAATTCCCTGTTAAATTATTATCTTGACACTGAAAATTATTAAAACAAATTTTTGATAAAGCAAATGGTATTTTTTATTTAGTTTAACAATTAGGATTTGCCAGATGGCAGGTGATATTTGTCCCATTTAACAAAAATCCCAATAGCTAAGTACAATTAAAACAAAAAATAAGAAAGAATAAAAATGCATGATTTATGTAAAAACACAATTTATGTTAATGTATATATAATATTATGATACATGTATATGTTGACTGTATATATAATTCTTGAGCTAATTTCACTAGTATATCAGATAGCAAAAACTTTGAGATAAATTTGGTAGTGTATTTCAATTTGATTTTTAAAACAGAACAAATTGTAAAAATATTTCATTACATAAACAAATTTAAATATTAATTTCCATGTAAGAATACTAAAAAGATCAGAATCCCTTACATGGAAATTAATATTTAAGTTTGTTTTTAATGAAATATGTGCAAGAACTTGTAGGAAAATTAAATTTGGTCATCATTTGCTTTGAATAATTATTATTGCTACATATTATTCTTTGATTGTAATTTTTGACATAGGTTATTATTTTTTTCAATGTCAAAAGCATTCAAATTTTACTTTTTATTGGATTTATGTTCTTGTTATTGAATGGATTAAATGTGTATACTTCTAACATTTTTATTCAATGATGCCGACAACGTAACATATTGACAGTCTTGCCGAGTACACGGTTTATTTCAATGCCAACGAGACAATCCAATCTCTTAATTGATAATTTGATAAAATATAGTGTGTTGCATTCAAAATTGCTTCTCTGTTGTTAGGTTTGTTACATTTATTAATTTGAGTATGTACTGAGAGTGCACTAAGACACAGTATCCCAAATATATACCTACCTATCAGGTGTCCATATCTAGAGCTCTCTAGTTACACTTTTTATATAGACATAACGATTTTGTAACATCTATATTAAGCCTACCGTCCCAAAATATAGTCGTTTGACTTTCCAAATTAGCGAACCAATGTATCGATAAGTAAATGTTGTAGACTTCTTTTGACAATTTTGTATTTAATTATTCTATCAAAATATTCACCAATTGGTAGAATTAGTAAAAACAATGTGCGGTGTGGTAAAATTTTGATTATCCAACATCTTGTTCTTTGTTAGAACAAATTATTTGAGAAGTGGGAGTTGTTCCAGTAAGATCTGGTAATTGCCTGTCAATTCATTCATTTGTGGCATCACCAGAATTTATGACTACTTTTTTCCTCTGGTATTTCATTACTTTGTGTATGTCCGAGTATGTGCGTAAAATATTATTATTAAAGAAATTTTAAAACAGTTTTGCATGCTAACACACATTGTCTATACAAGAAGATTCAAAAGGTCTTAAACAAATTTTTAAAGGTAGATCAATAATACAGAAACAAGTCATTTTTACTTAGGAACATATAACATCAAGGACCAGGGAAGAACAGTCTTGCGCCAAATCGAATGCAATCCACATACGAGTACACGACAAATTTCAAAATACAAAATACCTGAAATGGCACATGGGTATGTTGTTTGAAGCATTAGGTTCCTAAGTAAAAATGGTTTGTTTTTGTATTGTGACCTATTAAAGTTTGAGATTTTTTGAATCAGTGTATATATAGACAAGTGTTTTAGTTTGCAAAATAATTATTAACAAATCTCAAATTTCATGTAATTTTATAATTTTGTTTAGACTGCTCGGAATTAGCATCCTCACTGCCTACCACAGAGCCAAATTTTCGGCCGTGAAGATAATGGGACGGAAATCCACAGACAACCAGAGTTTGGTAGACAAGAGTGCGCCCGACCGGGCCGAACACGTCATGAGGTTAGAAGACTATCTCATTAACGATTTAAATAAGGAGAAAATGTAGCCAGCTCAAGGTATTTATAAAGCTTTCCACAAATATTCGTTTCTACGCACCGTCTCTCTTAGATATGACTCGTCTCTTACAGATCTGTGACAGTAAAAGGACAGGAGATGCCAGTGGTGGTAGACCTCACTACGTATGCCAAATATTAATTTATCTCTCGAAATTTCATTCCACTTACACTCAAAGAGTGTATTTCGGCAACAATGAGTTTTCCATTTTATTATATACTTTGTAATTGTTTTATTGACTCTAAAAAGTTAACCATTCTAGAGTCGAGCCGGTTCCATACTACCGTAGTTAAGTTACTTTCTCTGTTTTAGAAATTCCCACGTTTGTTTCGATAACAATTAAATATGTAATTCGGTTAAAATAGAAATTGTTCTATGTATATTTAGATATCAAATAAAGTTTGTAAAAACTATACACAATATTCTAAATGTTTTGTCTCAAAACTAACACGAGAACAAACTATATTTAAGTCAAACATATCATAGTTAAATATAAAAATACGAGATAACAACTTTCAATTGCAGAGAAGAGAGATTTGCACCCCTCAGTTGGAATTTTACAGTGCACGTTGACTCTGTCATAGGACATACTTAAAATTTATTTTTGTATTAACAGATGCCCACAAAGTGGAAAAAGAGAAGGTATATAGAGCAAGTTTACACTTAATGATGTTGAGAAACAAGTACCTTTCAAATTGTTTACAATCAATATTATTGAATTTTGATATAAAACAGGACTGGATTGGAATAAAGACACATCAAGTATGTATTGTCTTCTGAGGATTCTTTTAAAAAAGATTTTTTGTAATTGTTGAATGGCTCACCAGTGGCCAAGCAGTTCCGTTCCCCCACTGGAAGTTTGTTTGTGGGTTTGTGCCTGACCAGGACAGGCTGGCCACGTGGAGTTTTCCCAGTTTTCTCCACATCTGTAGGGGCCAGCAGTTACCCTTAAAACCTCCCGGAAGGCATCCCCTAGGCAGATTGCCTAAGTGTTGTGTTGCCATAATTTAACAAAACAAACAGAATGCATTTTCTTTATACACAGTAAAATTTATTCTACGAATTGGAAAATAAATGCCAGAGATTATAAACAAGGTCCAAATTAATCCCACTTGTCGTTTGGCTTACGGTAAAACCAATTTCGTTATATTCCAGTTTGCTTATTAATGTCCAAGAACCTATCGACAACGTTAAGTGAGGACACTCTATTTAGCCTTAACATGTACACGAGAAGAATTTTATGAGTTTTATACAATTGTATTTTGAAACTGATTTATACAAATTTCCTTTCGGATTGCAGCTAACTTTCTTGTCGCATAACACACTGCTTTGCTTCCTCCAGTTCATCCATCCACATTGAATTCTATGCTGCACCTCCGAGTTCAATCCTCCTCCCATCTCGACAAATGTCCCAAGATATTTAAAACTCAGAACCAAAGGGAGCGGCACGTTTTGGATTTTAATATTATTACACTCGTCTCTACCATTCAGAGTCATATAAACGGTATTAGTTCTCTAATCTTCACGCCTCTTTCTTCCAAAACTTGCTTTCAGTTTCTTCTCGGCCTTGGTTTGGGAAAGTTCACACAGCACAATATCATCCGCAAACAGCATATTCCATAATAGTATTAAAAGGACTGCCAAATGGCCAAGACGGTTAAGGCGTCGTCCCATCGCCCCAAGGAATTTGGGCGAACCACTCCAAGAAATTTCCGTGGATGTGTCGGGTCTCGTCCTTCTCCACCCGTCACCTCGTAGCGGTCCGGCCGAACCCGCAACGGACACAGAGGCTGTCAATACCCACGGAGCAAAAAGACAAAAATATGTTTGATTAATCGCCAGAAAAAGTTATTTTAAAAATTTGTTATATTAAATGTAATATAAATGTTTCTGGAATTATTAAAATATCATTTACTAAATACTGTGGACCCTCGCATAACGAGTAATTTGCATAACAAGAAAACAAACTCAAAAAAATGACTGTCTTAACGAGCGACATTTCGCATAACAAGTGACTAGGAGAGGGAAAGTCCCGAGTTGTGCGCATGCTCCATCAGTCTGTGTTTACCACTCGTTCCGCTAGCATCTTTGTGTCGCTCGTGATCACATATTTTTCCAAACGTGTTCACACATCTAAATATATAAAATGACTTGTCCTGACTGACTGACTTAGTCACTGATTCATCATCGCCCAGAGCAAACCGCCGAACCTAAAGAGGTGAAATTTGGTACACAGGGTACTTCATGGAAACGCACACTAAGAAGGAATTTTTCGAAATTCCCCAGCGGAGGGAGAAGGAGAACATTAAGGCTTAACCTGAAGCTTCTACCGTACTATTTTAGATGCAATTTTTTGTTTTCAATTACGGTTAGTCTTCGTTGAGTACTTAGGTGTGCTAAATTGATAACATTTCAGACATTGTTATAAATATTTTTATATATTTCAATTTTTTAACTGTTCGAACCGTTTTAAATTCAAATTTGTTATTGCATATTGGTTCGATTATAGAACGATTGTAAACGTTCTAGAAAATTGATCAAATTGGGAATACATAGTTAGTTTGATTCTCATCGGTAGGTGTTATATAACAGTTGCTATGGTTGTTGAAATACTGAATATAAATAGGGTTTGCTTGCAAAACCTCCGCGGGCGAAGTCGCGGGTAACAGCTAGTATTACATATAAACATTATCTGTGGCTTTTTCTTTTTTTTTCTGCAAATCGAATTCTCATTCCAGGTTGGTTCATTCTGCGCTAGAAGAAATGATGATGATGATTCACGCCATGTATATTGTATAATTTTCTTTGAATAAACGTTATACATAAAACATTTGAGTATTTTTTCGGCATGGAACGCATTATCGTATATTACATTAATTTTTATGGGAAAATTGTTTCGCATTACGAGTAAGTTTCTGGAACGAATTATGCTCGTTAAACGAGTTCCACTATTTTCAAAATTATGGATTTTGATTCGATTGAAAAAAGACCATTGTCATCATATACAATATTAGAAAAGATGTCGAGACGTCGAGTAAATCTTTGATAGCAAAGGATTTCAAGAGTACTGTGTTCGTAGATTTATTGTATTTTTATACAAATTAATCTTCCGGCTAGTACGGCTGTTCTGTAAAGTAACGCGTGGCTTTCTCCAGTATTAATATGAAAGTTAACATCTTTTGTTAAAATCTGAAATCTACTCGTCGCTTGTTAAAATCTGATAATTTTCTCAATGTACAGTATGTAGGCTCAAACGGAATATTCCAGCCCAATGATACTATGGTAGTCGATTTCGGGCCACTGCCCCGAAATTTTCCGAACTTTTTTGTTGTCTAAAGCCTAAATAAGGGTTTGTTTTTCTCATAAGTCTTCCTAAGAGGTATTTTCCTCCTGGTAGCTCGCCCGAGTGTTGCCTTGCCGTATTTCATCAATGCGGTCCAATTCAGGAGATTTCAGGTTCGATTGTGGGTATTTTTATGTAAACGTATGAAGAAAAATATAAAACTGGTTTTATATAAAAGGACAGGCGTCATCTGCGCAGGATTAATTCGACATAATTATTCGAAAAATCTTAGGAAATCAAAGCCGGCCGAATGACGGTCATACAAAATATTGTCGGCTGATCTCGAGAAGATACGACAGTGTATATTTTTAATTAATTCATCTTCCGTATATGAAGAGAAAGAGGAAAAAAAAAACGATTTGAATCAAAAATATAATTTAAAATTCGCACGAGAAAATAATTTTAATACAGTATTTCGATGTCCGGATTGCATAAATAATAAATACTGCATTTATTAATTTTACACATACGAAGGGCGCCTCGACGTGGAGAAATAAGGAAATAAAATGAAAACAGTCGTTTTCTTTTACGAGGTGTTGACACAGTGTAATCCAATGACGTTGGTTTTTATGGTAAAATTCTCGCAACAAGTTTACAAAAATTAACTCGTAAATGATAGGAAATGAGTCTAGAAGATCCATTTTTTGTAGTTAAAGAGTAAGATATTTCTATTTTGCTATAATTAACTTAAGATTTTGTTTCTTGTAAGCTGATGTGTGATGAGCCAGATCTAATTACTGCTTTTCTGTCAGACATTTGATATTGACAATAATTAAATCCAACAACGTCTTCTTGGCGTGTAAAACTATGGTAAAGCCTAAATGTTTTTGTGCCCATTTCATTCTTGATCAGAAACTTAAATTTCTTTGCTTTGTTGATGACTGCTTCTCCATCTCCGAGTTTATATTATTTTAAATATAATCCATGATTTACAGATGTGAACTTTTACATACATACACAATTCGGTAAGATACTCTGAATGAAGGATTTGCCACCTCCGGAGTTATAGATTCTCGTACGAGCAAAAGAGTAGAAAAAACTACTCGTACGTACAATCCTTGGTCGGATAGTCGCCTCTAAAGGTCGATTTTTACTGTTACCGGTACCGCTGTCTATTCTCTGTGCGTGGTCGTGCGTCTTGGTGTCCGCCTTCGCATCCCGTAAAGCTATTCGACGTCGAGTACTCTGCCGACGATCGGGCGGACTACTCGAAGCCGGCGTGGTCGCCCAGACTAGACGATTAAATGCGACGGTCTTGGTGGAGCGATGCCACTCCCGATCGCCCACCTCTGGAAGTGGGCCGATTTCGAAAGAGGCTTCGAGTAGAGGTGCGGTTTCTTTTACTCTTTTGCTCCCTTGGGTGTGTGGTGAGGTCTTGACCGTCTCGTGCGGAGGTATAATTTCGCCGACGAGTCCCCCTAGATGGTTAATTCCCTTTTAATTCTTTTGTAGACGGTTATCCTCGTGTCAATTCCCAAACAATAATTTTCCATGTTATTTGTATCTAGAGAATTTTTGCCTAGTTTGCTTTGTTTGCGTTTTAGTTTTTATTACTGTTATTGTGTTTGTAACTTTGGACTGGGGATTTTCTCCCTGCTCTTTGCGGGCTTAATCTGGATCCGCATAGATCACCCGGAAGACGGACGAGGCGTTATCACTTTATTGGGCTCTTTTTGTCTAATTTTTTGAAGAAATGAAATATGTAGAATGTTTATTAATAAATAGCAGTTTTAAAAGTTGTATTTTCATTAGTAAAATTAACATTAATTTTCAGGAGTGGTAACTACTACGGACCCCTAATTTTTACAGGACCTGGAGAAAAGTCCCTTGCTCTCACCTCTCTTTTAATGGTCCTATGATGGGAGGAGCATTTTGACATGTAGGCTAGTTTGCTCTTTAAAAATTTTTGAGGATCGAATATTGGTTTAAGCTGGCTTCCCAGAGTGGTGAATACGTAACGTAGCATCTCTGTTGGGGTTGGATATAGTCTCTATTCATTTGCAACTATACTGTCAGATAGAGTGACTTGAAACAATTGTGTATAATTTAAAGTTAAATAGTATGTTATTCCAGAAAATTGATGAAGTTTGAACAAGTTGGTTGTTAACCTTCTAATATCAAATGGTATTTGATTTGGGATACAATATGCACATGTATTCCAAGATGTTTAAATAATATTGAACAATATGATGAGTTTGAATGTGCATGCTTTCCACTTTCAATATGATTGCAAATTAAATATTATTGTCTAGTGGGACCTGCCATGCCATCGAAAGGCACATCTCCTCTTTAAAATTAATGCAAGTGGTTCTGCATCCTACCTTAAAAATTTCAATCGCCTGCAACTATTTGAGGTTTTCTGGGTGTGGGGTGATAAGGATAATACGGACTCTGGTGAAGTTCGTCGTAATATCCGAGTCTGTTGCATAAGTGGAGAGGGCCGTGTTGAACCCCTATTATGTCGTATGTCGAATTTATGTTCCTTTATCCTGAACCCCCATTGAATGTTTGGTGGGGCCAACATACAGCAATTCCCTATCCCATCTTTTATCTCTGATAGGGATGCTATAAATGCCCGCTAGTCTGTCGGGGTTAGGATGGTCTTTTTTATTACTCAGTATGTTGAAAATGGATGGGCATCTCCTGTAGGCAATATTGACCCAATGACTCTTGGCAATTGTGGTATACAATGATTTTAAATGGGGGTTAAAAGTGAGGGGGACACTCCAATTGGAATATAAATGGAGATAGCACTTGGTTTATGATAAACAGACGTGCATATGTTTGACCTTTCAATTGTGATATCTATGTCCGAGAAGTGGATCCTGGTGGATCCTGGGTAACACCAATGGACAGGTAAGAAAAGATTAAGCATGCTTCGCTTTGTCTGTCTTTGCATCTGACCTGAAGTGCATTTACAGTGGGATAGACCGAACTAACACATCCACTTTAATATTGATAATTTAATAAAAATAGAATGGTTAGAATATATAAAGCTGCCTTAAAAAGTTAATGCAGTAATTCTTGAGATGCAGATACTATATTTAGTGTGGAGATCCATATATGAAATACAGTAAAAAATGAAAACTTTATTATAATCTGATTTTTATTTTTGAATGTTTTGAATAAGTGTTATATAATATTCACATTATGTGACATTTTGAATATGTATTCTTTCCACACAATCTGTGAACAGTAATATTTAAAAGTTTGTAATTTTCCATCTGTATTTTAATTTACACTATTCTGTTTTTCTGTTCTTTTATAATTCGTAATGATCACCCAAAGGTCTTTTCAATAAAACTGAAAATGTTAACATTAGAAAATAGGTTATGATTATTGGATTTTTCAAGTTCTTGTTGTTTGATCAATAAATATCCAATTATTGGTAAGAAGTTTCTGGAAAGAATTGCACAGTTAACCAGTAAATATTATTAAGGGTAAACTTGCTGTTTCAATTATTAAAATTATAGTAGTTGATGTCAGATTTATAAAATCAAGTGAAATTACAAATTCATTTGACAACCATAATGGTAATTATGAAGGATTTAATCATTCCTTGTTGATACATTTGCATGATAAAATACTTTTGAAATGCACAAAATTATTACTTTTGATTTGTGTTTCTTAACTGAAATAAATTAATCTGAAGTTTATGTAGGTATTTGTAATATTAAAACTAACACATGTGAACTTTGAACTTTGCAGAACATATCATTACCTTTAGCATATGTTTGCAATTTATCCATTACATCTGATCCTATTTATAATTTTGTTTGCTTTAAATGCTTTTACTAAAAATATAATACCTGTCTTTAAAAAAGATGATGTGTCTGATATAACTAGTTATTGTCCAATTGTATTAAATATTAATTGTGAGTAGAAGTTTTGAAAAACTACTCACAATTATTTTTAAGAGAATAATATTTTTTTTGGTAGAAACAGCTGGTTTTCTCCTAGTTTTAGACAAGTAGCAAGAACAGATGTTAACTGAGACAACGATTGTATGTCGAATGTAGGTTTTTATATCATTTTCAGTTTATAGAACTTACATTATCATCTATATAAATAAAAATGTAAATGTTCATTTGTTCAAAATCTTAAATCTCTGAAAGTTCTTAACCGATTGCTTTGAAATTTTGACACAACGTTGCATTTGAATATGTGCTTGTTTTTATATTATATAGATGTCAAAATCTCTCCCACGAGGGAGAGGGACGGGATTAAGGCTGATCGTGAAGAACTGGGCTTCTATTATAATATTTTAGATGCGGTTTTTTGCATCTTTGATTGCATTTTAATTAATAGGGTATGTCGAGAGAATGTACACTAAGAAGGAATTTTTCAAAATTCCCCACCGTGGGGAGTGTTATACATTTATAATAGGTACATTTTGAGCCACAGCAATGCATGGTCGGATACAACTAGTATAGAATAAATTTATATAATGTAATTACTTATTTTTGTTTTATTGTGTTTTGAATTTTTTAAATTCTATTCTCTCATTCATAGTTTGATATAGTAATATTTTAATTTTAGAATGTCTTTAGTGTTTGAAACTCTGTGATAAAACTGAGCAATAATTATTTAATACTTCAGAGACTTGGTAAAGAATTTATAAAAATCTATATTCAAAACATAAACAAAATTATCAACATGGATAAAGTTTGAACATGAGATAATAAAGTGAACTGATAATTTCATATGCCTCTAAAAGAAAATCTTCATATTTTTATTTTCAAGTACAAAAATCTTAATTATTTATTTTGCCAAATTTCTGAGCTGCAATTTTAATCATATTTTAATTTAAAAATTATTTGGGACCTCTGGCCCCTAATCTTTCCATATTTGGTCTCAATTTCATCTGTGTCTTCATTCTGAAGATTAACAAAGGGCAGATGACAGTGGGAATTTATAGGTCTGCAATTTGAAAATGCAGCCCATTTAGTAAAGTCTGAGATTAATGCCCTAAAATGTAATGATAAAAAGATAATGTACACCACTGTCTGTCGGCATTACATAAAAATATTTATTTTGCGAGTACCTTCGACAGGGTATAGCTGTCCTCTCCGGGCAGAATTCTTTATAGAGAACAAAACATTTGTATTCAAAAAATAGAACCTGAATAGAAACTAACATTTTTACAAATCATTTGTCCTGCATAGAATTTAAAATTACATATATACAGTTTACAAAATTAATACAATATTACAAAACTATAATTATATGTAAAAGAAAACATTATAAATAAAACAAGATTAAAATAATTAATAATAAAATAAACAGTAAATAAACAAATAATAAATGTATAACAGTGCAATGACACTAAGGCTTTTTATTGTGAACCATGTGATTTATAGCTTTGAGGTTAAACAGTGCTGTCCACAGTTCTATTATATCTAGTGTGGGTGAGTTACATGGTGACATTGTTGAGATGTAAAGGGATTCCCATATGAATGTTTTTTGATCACAACAGTGTTTTAGAAGGGAAGTTTGCAACCAAAGTGGCTTGAAGTTACACTCTATCACTTTTTTTAGCTAGCTCTATTATACATTTGCTACATACATCATCATCATCACGATGTTCTGAAAGAGAGGCAGAGCATTCTAGTAGTGGCTCCAATATATAATAGCTTTCACCCAGTTAGTGGATTTTG